GCTGGAACTATCGCCTCCCCCAAACTACAGAGGAATCTGGGCTCCAGCTATTAATCTGCCTCCTAATAACAACTCCGAAGTGATCATCCTTGCTCCTGTGCCTCAATCCCAAAAGGTCCCATCCATTTCTCTTCCTTTCCGCTTCTAATCACCTTCCAAGGAATTCCACTCCCCCGCCGACATTCGCTAGTTTCATGAATCGAAAACATGCAAGAACTTCCTCACTTCGTTGTCACCCTCTCAGAATCAATTCGTGGCCACAAGATCTCCGATCTGTGCCAAGAATCAATTCGTGGCCACAAGATCTCCGATCTGTGCCACGAATCCTCCACCACCACTAAAATCGCCTCTGTCCATGAAATCTTAATCCATTGGATCGATGAAATTCCTTCGGTTCAACAATCGTCTCACTACGGTAACATCTCCTACAGAACTTGGCACGAGTGGATAGGAATTTCCCGATCTGTTCATGCCTTCTTTTTGTTTTTCGTTATATGGAGATCGCGATTGTGCTATTTAGATGCAGAAACAAAAGCAAAGGAAGAATACAGTCAAAAGTTGCAGGAATTGCAAGCAGAGGTAGCTTCGTGTAATGAATCACGAGAAAAGCTCCAAAGAAAGGTTAGTAATAAAAGACAAAGCATCCATCTCGGTAAAAAAAATCCAGATTAGATGCAGAGGAGGGGATGATGAGCGAAACGTTAAGTTTTAACGGATTAGTGACGTCATGTTACACAGAGGGGCTGATTTGCCACCTAAGACGAGTTAAGGGGTTCTTTTGCGCGTGAACTGACTTGAGGGGGTGATCTGCCACCACACGACGAGTTGAGGGGCTAATCTGCATGTTTTGCCTTTATTATTATACAATTTTAAGTTACATATAAAACTTGCATTTCAGTCCACATATTAGACTTTTATATTATATTTTATTTTATTTTCCTTTGTGGTTTTGTATGCTTTTTCTGTGTTCTCTCAATAGTAGGGAGGACCCCCTAACTCCTACTGCCTCACAAATGAACGGATTTGCTGCCCCCCCCACAGTTTTAGAGAGTTTGCAAGATTATTTACTAGACTACAAGTTTTAGAACTCTTAACAAAAGGTGGAGATGACCCAACCATTAAAGAAAAAGGGTAATGAACAAGTGGCAAAATTGGTACAGAAGTACTGAAAACCCATTTCTTAGGGTTTACCAAAAGGTCTGAAAAGGCTTGGAACGGTAACAAATGGCTTTAAGCAAATGAGGAACTTTTTGCCCTTTGCAATTGCCTTTGCAGCCCCCGTCGAGGAGTACTGCAGTTTGAAAAGGGAGAATGGAGAATTGGTACATTTTTTTTGTTTGTGCCAGAATGAGTCAAAAGTTTATCCTTCCTACCCAATTTTGGATACTTTTTGGTTGGCTTTGGATCAAGATAATGAGAAAATGGTACAGAGCTCTCTTGATGTTATATTGTTGTTTTTTACTTCCTTAAAAAAATATTTTTTGAAATTAGGTTGTAGTTAAAAAATATAGTCTGATTATTAAATTATTAAAATATTTCTAATAATTTTTTTTAAATCTATTCATTAAAGATAATTTAATAATTTCATTTTTAAAATTATACTTTTAATGTGTAATTCAAACCAAAATACATAAATTTCTTTTGCTTTTCAGATGGGATATTATTTTCTTTCTAGTATTTATGATTATAATATCTTTAGATTAATTTTGATATATCTTAAAAATAATCTCTTTCTATTCAATCATAAGAGTATTTTTTACATTAATCTAATAAATTTTTAAAAAAATTAATTTTTATAAATATTATCATCAAAATTTAAATTCTAAAATTAACTTACTAAATAATATTTGTTTATCTATTAATTAAACTCTTGAGTTAGTTGTTTGATATATTCATAGAGTGTATTTTCAAGACAATATATTTTTCATTGATTATGATAAATTAATTCTTTTTATATGGATTCATATAAAAATTAGTTAATTTAAACAGAAAAAACACAATTCTGAACATGTGTTATACTTTTTCTCAATTTTCTTTGGTAACTTTCATGATTAGTAAAAGTAATCAGGAGTAAAGTTTACGCAACTCATAGTGTTTCCAGAGGGACTGAATTTGACTACTTGTTTGCTAGTGTCCCAGTCCCATAACTCCTTTTACATATATATATATATAT